CCGCTAAGACAAACACATTTCGCGCAGCGCTTCGGAGAGCCCTCAGTCTCCTCCATAAAATCAGTGGGTTTCGGACCCTCCCACGTCCAAGACGGCTGCTTTAGTCTCCCTGCAGTCAGCGAAGTTGCCACTGCTAATTTCCTTATGTGGGAAAGGTGGCAACCAGAGGGTGCAGTTCGGAAAAAGTTGGATGCGACAACAACTCGAAGCCACATTTCATCGCTTCACTGATCGTCACCCCGCGCATGTACGCAAGTGCGTGGACGTGGATCAGGTCACACTTAATCAGCTTCCCTATAGCCCTCCTCGATGTCTATCGAATGGACGCACATCATCAATTGGGCGCCCTGTTTTTAGAAAGTTGACCAAGCAGAGCCCCGTCGGCATCCAAATGCAACCACTATCACCTTGCCGACTAACTCAACTCGTAACACTCATTTGTGGCCGTTTACCTACTCGTGCTTCCACTTGCGCAACTCGGCACGTGTCCCTTAGTGAACCCACGTGACACCCACAATTCCTTTACGGTGACAAGTCAATGACATCTTCTAGATATTCGAAAATGTTTATATTACTTGTATACCGCTGACGAAGTGACAATAATACAGTCACGAAACTGTCCGGAAAAGCCGAGTACTTTAATTCTAGATATTCGATAAAGGGGCCAAAAACACCGCGCTAAGCCTCCTTTCGAGCTTGCCTTTTTCTGCAGAGTCCGCAAACGGGGGATACATCTTGCAGAGATCTTAAACATAACATGATAGATTCCAGTGGCGTAGCCAAGTGAGGGGGGGCGGGCACAGGGGGCACGTGCCCCTCCCATCGGGTCCAGGGGGCCCTTCGGGTCCCTGCGGCGCCAATCGGCCGCTGAGGGTCCACGCTGGCCATATTTCGTCTCAAAGGGATCCCACAGGGCTCGTCAGAGCTCAGCAGCTCTAAGGGTCCCACGCATATCTGTGATGGCCATAAACCAGTGTATCTGAGGACCCCGAAACGGCGCTTAAGAGGGCCCTCACCGGCGACTGTGCAGGTCCCACACCGGCGCCTCTGAAAGTCCCACACATGTGCATCTGACTAACACCCACCGGTGACTTTTGCGTGGCCCACACCGGCTATTCTGAGGATCCCACCAGAGTCTGAGAGTACCGTGCCGTTCTCTAAGGACCCCACTGAACTTCTGAAGGTGCTGCCGGCCTCTGAAGACCCTTTGCCGGTCTGAGGAGTGAGGACCCCTTGCCGTTCCCTAAGAACCCCCTGCCGGCTTGCGAAGGGTTCGCGACAGCAGCTCCTACGGCCCAGCAGGCTACACACGTCTGTGACGACTGTACAAATATGCTTATTTGCTTATCTGTTTATTTTGATTTTTTTGCCAACTGATAAGTGACAAAAGATTGGTAGGGCTCAGCGAACATTGGTAGGGCCCAAATAAACATTGGTAGGGCTCGGGCCCTACCAGGCCTATACAAAACGACGCCCCTGCATGCTTTGCATTAACTATTCACTCCTAGCCATTAGCCAATACAAAGACATTGCAATTGAATGGAATTCGAATGTCAAACCATTTGCGTCGCAATTCTTGGAGGAACGTGTTCCGATTTTCATTCGCTCCTCTCGACATCAACACCTTCAAGAGATGTTTTTCGGTCTAGATTTTTCATTATCCGGCCGGGAGCGATCGCCATTTTTATCCTGGCGTCTGCCACCACCACTGTCTGCAGCCAGCGGGCAGCGCCACCCACCGAGTCAGACACCATTTCGAGGACGAATCACTCTGTTTACCCGCCGAGACTGAAGGGTGGCCGGGGAGGGAGGGGGAGATCGACGCTGCGTGCGATGTGTCCGGAGGGTCAAGACAGGAAGGGAGGAGCATTGGATATAAGTAGGTAGTCATGTTTGCATCCATAATCCACAGTACTAAACTAAATCCCAGCAATGCAACTCGTTCCAGAATAAAGGATAGAACTTACAGCTCCAGCCATCACGGTGTTCTATAAAACCACCAATATTACGGTAACAGCGCCATACATAGTGTCCGACTCTGATATCTTCACCGTCATTTACTCTTACTTCACCGCTCTTACTCCGCTTCCCACCGCCCGCCTGTCGTTCGTGTCCCACGCCGCCCCCATCCCACCATCGTCTACTGCCGCCCTGCCCCACCACCCACCCTCTCCCGCCCCACCGCCGCTGCTAACGAGGGGAGCGTCGCGCCGCTCGGCAGAGAGCAGGGCCATCATTCAGCGGAGCCGAGTATCGTGGAGAGCACCTATCCATTAAGTGATGTCTTACCGGCCCTCCGCGGAAAATTGGTCTAAGTATGCACGGATAATGAAGATTTGGAGCACGACGCCGGCGGCGGTGGCAGCGGCGAAGGTGGGGAAAAGTGGGATGGGACAGGGGAAGGGCAGGAGAGTGTACATGACGATTAGGTTTGATGATCCTCGAACGCTGTTTTTGTTATAGCACGGTAGATGCGGCAGCATAGGATTACGCATTGTTTATTTTTATCTTCGCTGTGGATTTCTAAGAGAGAATAAACAGGCAATACCCAATGCCGTTATGCTTTGAAGTGGCGTAAGCAAATATCTGAAGAAAGCACAGCTGAGAGCAGTCATCGAATTTATGCAACAAAGCCAAAGGAGGGTCTTTTTAAATGGGAACGGAAAAACTCAATTCTCAAGCAGGGAAGCTCTCTAAAATGGTCAAAGTGAGACAATAAAGACGGCAATTGCGCGGTTCTCGGCGACCAAAGACCAATCAAGGACCCAGTGTAATTTGTGGTCGTAGCTGCCAACCGCCAGCTGCATCATCTCTGCAATCACTGCCGACCAGCCAATTCGACGCGATAGCAGATGATAAGAACACATCGTTCCAGCTCAGATACAAAACTTGAGCTGTGTTGGAAAGAAATACTTCCCGCTGTGCGTTTGCAAAGACGAGACCAAAGTTGGTCCTGCAAGGGCGTTGCGAGACTAATTTTAGATATCAGAATGACGTTTTTTGCATATCATCATCACCTTATAGTTTAAATCCTCGATACATCAACCACGTGACATATTTAAAATTCTTTTCCACCTCAAACAACCTGAGTAACTTCGAACTTTTCTTCCATGGGAATGGTATAAGTTTCGAGCGACTGTCTGCGGCTGACACCCCGTTCATTCACATGGAGACAGCGTCCGTCGGCCCGGAGACAGACACCCCTGGCCAGCTGCCAAGCCTCCCCTCCCCCTCCCCTCTACCCTTGACATGGCACGCCGGCGGCGACAGACTCTGATGACGTCATCACCCCCTCTGACGTCAGCGCGGTCAGCCTGCTGACGTCATCAGCCAAGTGGGCCAGCTGCGTCTGCAACTATTTTGTTTTCAATTCGATTCCGAAGTTATCTCTTCGACATACGAGCTGACACTAACAGTCAAAGGACTGTCTACATATGCCTACGTATTTTGCTGATGAAATCCCTAGAATCTAGAATGCATCCACAAGGAGAGTTGAACAGCCTATGAAAACCGTCGGCCCCGCTGGTGACAAACAGAACAAATCTATAACCTTGTGATCCTCAGACCGACCGAATGAATAGATGACGTGCAACTCACCTGGCGTGCGAGCCGGGCTGACAGAGCGGCCTGGTGAGTAGCGGCAGCAGGGAGACACACACCGGGGTCAGATTGGGGTCAGCAGAGGCTACAACTGGGAGCACACGACTAAATGCGGCGAATTTGGGATCAGCCTGAGGGGTAATATGATTGGATTTCGATGGAGTCAGGCAGGGGATGCATTGGGGTAAGTTAGGAAATGCACAACTAAAAAGCTAACTCGCCATAAGTTCCGAACTTGGAAACGCCAAGGCAAAGAAAACATGCCCAGATGTATAGGAAAATAGGCAATTAGTAGTTAGTAGGCTACTTAGGACTGCAGACCAAACATAAAAGTTGGATTATTGCGAAGCGGCAAACAGTAAGATTATAACGCATACATCTGACTAAAAACTCCCGCAATTTCTACTCATTATTAACACGCGCAGTGGAAGGGGGGGCGGATTTCGCCCACCCCTCCTGTTTTTCGCCAATAACTCGCGCCGAAAGCATAATATCAATGTGAAATTTCAGCTACCTGTCCAGAATTGAATTGCGGATCTTCTCGTGCAAGAAGTAAGAAAATCGGTTCACAACTTTTCTAGTAATAGCGGTGTAAAGTCAAACATCCTGCCGCCGCGGCGGCGCGGCGGCGCGGCGGCCGGCGCTAGCCGTTACGCGCCGCCTGAATTGTAGACTGTGCCGGGGCGGGACGGTTCCGTCTTTACATCGCGCTCCTTACCGCTGATTATATTAGATTCACGTCAAATTCGGTGAGAAGACTGAGAAATGTACAGGCAATTATATGGTCAAAGAATTTTGAAAATCGGCCGGTAACAACTTGAGTTATGAGTGTGTAAACACAAAATTGTGATTGCCGCGTTTCCCGCGTCGGCCGATGCCGCCTCAGCCGGCGACATCTTACCCTTCGCAGGCTTCTAACTGCCATATTTATTGTTGGATTATCTAGAAATTCACCAAACATACCTACAAATGTTTGCTCTTTCGTATAGTGAAAGATTTTAAAAAAATCGGCAGGTAACTTTTTGAGTTATCGGCGTGTAAACGCAAAAAGTCGCTAATATGGCAGATTTGACCACATTTGACCTCATTTGACCTTGAAGATATTGACCTAGGGTAATGAAATTCACACACAACAGAGTTCTCCATGGCCTCCACCTACCCTCCAAATTTCGTCTTTCTAGCTCCAGTGGGAGCTGAGATCTTAGGGGGGGGGCGACATCCGCCCCCCCTTCCACTGGGCGTAGTACTCGCAACCCTTCCACTGCGCGTGTTAATTATTTTCAGGCCTAGGCTCTCTGGTAACGAAAAATACTTAATAACTGGATAATGTGAGCGATCAAGGCTCAGTTGGTTGAGTTAGTTGTTATTCGCTTCAAACAAACTAGCAGGGAAAATAGCGTCGCTAAAAAGGAACTTCACATAACTGGCATACCGCTTTTCTACCACTGTCCAAAACAAACGTAGCAAGTGAAGGCTTTGTGACTGCAGCGATGTCAAACTACACGCGCCACTCTGGCACCAGACCCGTGAAGGACCATACCTCTGTCCCGACGGCGACGCTTGCAGTCAAAGTCCAGACGGCGGCCCTGCAGCTTCTTGCGATGATGCTGAGGAGGACAGACAAAGACAGCATTGTCAGAAACATATTAAACGGCGCACTATTCAGTAGCGTTCCCTAAAGCGTTAGAGGTATGAATTTGAATCAGGAGTTCTAATGTGATACAATTTCCTACAGCAAACATCAAATGGACCGCCTCAGCTCAGCGATCAAGCGGTTAAATAAATCTGGTAGTAGGAACTCGCATGTTAACATAACTTGCATGTTTTTTTTTTTGTATGGCAAGATCGACCAGCACGGCGCACAGCTAGTCTGCTATGAAGGTCGAGATTGACGGGCATTGCGGTACAGCCTAACAATCAGGCGCGCACAGGTAACGCCATCTGTTGATGGCAATATGCATAAGTGGCGCCGCAAACGGGCGAAGCTGTGTAATACTTGATACTTTTTATTAAAAAAAAAAAATGGTTGAGTGAGACGCTACCATATGTGACAGATTGAGCGATTTAAGTGGATGATTACGTAAACCCGTAATGCTCGTAGATTTTGTGTTATAACACACCGGTGCGCACACAAGCGATCCAGTTCAGAGCCGTGCCATCTGCACCAGCAAGCACCATTGAAGGCTTGCTAAGCTTTCACGGCGACTGGTGAAGCTGAAACCTTCTCAGCTCCATTGGCCATTGCCACCGAACAATGCTGGCCACCCGGGCGCACTTACACTGCCACACAGGCCTATAGAGCACTCAAAAGAAGCATTGGGAGCGATACAGGGCAGCCGCCGCCTCCATTATAGACATTTCCGGTGTCACGCTGTCGCCGCTCCGATTCCCGGAGATCTATACGCTCGCCACTTTTCCGCCCACGGCCGCCATATGCGCTCTCATCTCCGCGGCATCTTTTCCATTCATCTGCCGCTCTTCAATCCCTATTTTCGTGCCTGCGACGTGGAGCTGAGCCCAGCGTCTGCTCGCTGCCTCCTTGTCACGCGGCGGCGTTCAGCAGAAGATCGTCAGTATGCTGCCCCCGCCACCGCCGACGACTGCCGGAGTCGCAAGCACGCAATCACTGGGTGCGGATGAGCCGCGTATCAATAGACTCGGATCGACACGGGCGTCGTCGTCGCCACCACTGCCGTTTGTACCGCCGCCGCAGCGCTCGTCACGCCGCAGAGAGAGAGGGAGAGGGAAAGAGAAAGAGAGAGAGAGGGAGAGAGAGATAGAGAGAGAGAGAGAGGGGGGGGGGGAGAAAGAGAGAGAGAGAGAGAGAGAGAGAGAGAGAGAGAGAGAGAGAGAGAGAGAGAGAGGAAAAGAGGACGGTTGGAGGGAGAGAGAGGGGGGAGAGAGAATAAGAGTGAGAGAGAGAGAGAAAAAAAAAGATATAGGGGGAAAAGAGGACGGGTGGAGGGAGGGAGAGGGGAGAGAGAATAAGAGTGACAGAGAGAGAGAGAGAGAGAGAGAGAGAGAGAGAGAGAGAGAGAGAGAGAGAGAGAGAGAGAGAGAGAGAGAGAGAGATAGAGAGAGAGAGAGAGAGAGAGAGAGAGAGAGAGAGAGAGAGAGGGAAAGAAAGAGGGAGAAAGATGAAGCACCGGCTGTTGCCTACACCATGAACTATGGCAGTGCCAGCGGCGACACAGGCGTGGCGCGAACAGCCATTGGGCCGAGTCAGAAGACCGACTGACCACCGAGGTCACCCGTGCCTATCCGGAAGGTCATCCGGGTCACCCGTGCCCATCCGGAAGGTCATCCGGGTCACCCGTGCCTATCCGGAAGGTCAGCAGAGCCGCACCCGGCGGCTGGCATCGTTCAGTCGGATGTTAATTTCTGCTGTCGGCCTCAGCGGCTGATTAAAGCCGGCGACATCCCCAGGGCGGCGGCGGCTCACCGGGGTGATTGCCAAAGTCAGCGGTCGCCAGTGCAGTGGTACGACAGGGACCGCGGTGGCGCGGTGGCGCGGTGTCGTGGCCTCGTTTCAAAAGAGAAGCGACTGAGGTGATCATTGCCCAGTGGTGTGCGACTCTGCGTGAGGCTCAAGTTGCGGCCCCGTGACAAACCAGGCAGGACAATCTTTGAGAGCGTATGTATTCAGCGACGATAAGTTGAATAACGCGAAACAGGGTTGAGGCAAAGTGTTGTAAACCTGTTGTCTCTTAGAGGAACTTATGAGCTTATTGGTAAATAAAGCGTCATTTGGGGGTCCTATAATTAATTTTTAATATTAGACAGATACACGTATATAAAACGTCAATGACAGGACGCCGAATAGCTGGCACGTTTCATAAAAATATGTCTGATGGTACCCTGTCTTTCAATCGCAATGTGATCACAAAAGGTGACAGCTAACAAATGAATGACGCCAGTGTAGATTAACATTAAATTGGCAATATTATAATGAGAAAATCAGAAAACAGCTTTAGGGAACTCTTCCAGCCTAGAGCACACAGTCGCAGAAGGGCCAAGAGGCAACAACCCGTCTGCAGAAGCCCTGAGCGATGGAGCAATTTCCGACAGGCCGAGCGAGCAAATAAGACGCTAAGCACGGGCTTTTGCAATTTCAGAACAGCAATTTCCGACAAGTCCCCTCGACGGACAGAATCATGGGTCGATTTCCATCCAGTGTGCCTTCCAGAAGCGCACTGATACTGCTAGCAATAAAGCTCAAAAAACAACCGCCAACAAAGAAGTCTCCCCGAACTACCAAAGCTCAAAAACAATATTTTCACCCTAACTTCGAAACTCCTCAATGGGCTGTGCCTCCAGACAGAGTGAGGCCGCGGGGCATTTCGCTTACGCGGACCTGCGGTCTGTGTCTTTGGGACTTCCGAGATGCGGACGAACACCGGAGGGGGGGGGGGGACGACCGACACTCCCGCATCGACCGACACACTTCCGGTCCCTGATGACGTCATCCACACCAGTGATGACGTCATACCACCCGCGCCGCCCACGTCAGTGAGTCGTTTGACGCAGCCGCCCACCAAACGAGCTCAGCCCGCGGCGACTCATAGGGCCGCAGTGACCTTTCACAGATAATGGTAGTCGTTGTATTTAATATCCTAACCGAGAATCAGGATCCAGGCTTTACGTCTGGCATTCGCATTCGGCCTGTCTCGAAGCCGAAAATACACCAAATATAACGGAGATAGCGTCATTGGCTAAATGGAGTAATAATCTGGCCGCGTTTTTCTGTTTCTGCCAATCGCATGGGACATGGATCAATGACCATTTCGAAATATCGTCAGCTTGGCATTGACAGAAAATCTCCCGTCGAGTCCTGTTGCGCCCCGTCCCACGCGCCTTTCCAGTCTCATCTGCTGTCGAGTGTTCGGCCCTCGCCTCAGGGCGGCACCGACGTCGGTCGGTCCCGCGGGAGTCTGTTCGTATCGACTGGTGTCGCGTCTCATGCGTCACCAATTGTCGGAGGCGCGCCGGGGCTGCAAGGCAGAGTGCTACACCATCCTAACTAGGTCCACATAACCGTCAGTTCCATCGTCAGTAAAACACCAGATACGGTACTGTTCAATGCGGCTCGGCGCCCAGACAAATCGACCTCTCTGGCGCATCAAGAGACACCAAGTCCACTCTGCAGAGTAGCCAGAAACCAATAACTCGAGCCGGGATTTAATTCCGGCCGAAACTCGGCAGCCACATAAATCTACCGGGACCGTCACGCCACTCGGAGCAGTGGAGGTTTATTACGGCGCTCCCGGCGGGCCGGCAGAGTTCGATTAAACATGCATTGAAGATCAGAAAACCGGGTCAAAGTGAACGGCTAGCCATATAGAAACGCCGCCGGTGGGCCATGATGCGACTTGGTGATAGATGCTGCCGATCCATCTTTGCCTTTCATATTAGTGTCGGCCGGACCGTTCCGCTCTACTAAGCCTTAGGATTAACGAGACCCTTTAAGGGATATATTCACAAACGAAAACAAGATTATCGAGTATTTAGCCGTTTGGCTCAGCCATATGGCATGATTCTTAGCTGGCAAATTGTTTTTTTTTTCGTGCGTGTACATGGATGCCGCCTAGTGCCTACAAAGCCACATACGGTTGTTGATGAGTGATTCACCACTTTTTTATCGATCCGTCGCCTACAAATCAGTCACTGGTTTTCCGTGGCTGATGTCTTTTTCCCCTTGGGGAGTATGGTAATATCCTAGACGAAATATAGTGTTATTCATCATACAAGTGACTCATCACTAGTTGATCGATGAGTTATTATTCGAGTGGCCGCTGTGTTTCCCATAGCTTGTACGAGCAATGGTAAAGATGTGCATACATATCTCAGGCTGGCCAATTACATACCTATGTCAACTATCGTTAAAAAGGCATCAGTACATCCCTCTATCTAAAGGTATCTATAACAGCTCCCTGCAGTTGACTCACCATGACCTCCTTGAGGTCCTTGCTCTGCAGGTGATGGAGCGGCTCCAGGAAGTTCTGCTTCATGCTATCATCCAGCGAGTATTTGATGTCGGCGATCTGCTTCATGGCCTCGCCCGTCTCGACCAGCGCCTGAGCTGTAAAAGATGGCCACCTCAGTGTCAGTGACACACTGACACATGACAGTTTGGCGCAAGGGCAGTCGAGCACTCCGGTATTTGGCGTGCTCCATAGAAGCCTGGGACCAATAGCACGCAGCTGACACAGGTGCCGCCCAATGTTGTCTAGTTAACCTTTCCAGTTCCAGACAGACTAGCCTGGCAGTGATTTGTCAAATACTGTCTATATCTCCATCCCTAGCATGATTGTGCGGGGGTTTTCAGAGAGATGTTCCGTGCGAAAGACCACTAAAGGCTAACGACTAATCCCTCCTTACTGATCCCTCCATCGCTTGTACTTACCGAACGGTTCATCGTCGTCCAGTTTTCGTCCGAACGAGACCATACACTCGCCCAGCACCCCCTCTGGCTGAGGGTAGGTGGCAGCCTTCGCCTGGCCCGACAGCTTCGAGATACCTGTCAACAGAAGTCACATAAAACGCTGAATGCATGTCACTTCAGTCGTTTTCACACAAAAGGTGCTTACGAATTCGATGTACCAAATGAAAATACACTGACTTGAAAGTGGAATTGTTCAGCATAGGTATGTTGTACTGTTTATACTTATCTCAGCATACAATGGATATGAACAAGAAAAGCAAGACAGCAAGACAAAGCAAGACAACAATTTAGATCACCGCACTATCGATTTTTAGAAGTTGGGATGTCACTTTTATAATTTTCCTGAAGCTGAACTGAGGCAGCGACACCGGTAGATCTGAATTCACTGATGCACCGCAGGGTTCTGGTGGAGTAGCTAACGCACGGCAGCGTTATTATCGAGTTTCGTCACTGATCTAAAATGGTATCAGCTAGAGGCTAGAGCTATTCGACGCTTTTAATATGCATATATAATCCGTGCTTAATTCTGTCTCTGATCGTCACATCCTCATCGTGACATCCCAGCCGGCAGCCACTCGCCCGCACTCTTCTCGTCCCCCGTCCCCTCCCGCTCTCACTCAGCGTCATCCAGTGCGAGTCTGGCTGACCCCTCCCCCTGCCCAAGAACCTCTCGATCGTCCGCGCTGACTCTCAGAGTCATCTCCAGAGTATGGCGAGAACGGCACGGGAAATCTGGCCCGAGTGGTGCCACTCCCACGTGCAAGAGAGGCAGCGGTAGCCACTTGAGAGGCGATGGGGCGTGCCCGCTGCGGTCACCGACCCCAGCGACCTTTGACCCCACAGAGAGTGAGCAGAAGAGAAAGAGAGAGAGAGAGAGAGAGAGGGGGGAGGGAGGGAGAGAGGGAGAGGAAATGAGAGAGAGAGACCGGACAGACAGACAGAGACAGAGACTGAGGAAAGAGGAAAGAGGAAAGAGGGAGAGAGAGAGAGAGAGGGGGGAAGAGTGAGAAGGTAATGAGATTCAGCACGATCAATGAGCCATGAAAGAGTGGGCTGTCAAGGAGTCCTGATAAGTGAATCGGGTAAAAATAACCAGTTTCCACCGATACATTTAGATGAGACGGGGGCGTTATAGAAGCTTTGAGATGGATGACTACCTTGAAAAAATGATTATTTTTAGTGGGACAGGAATGCATAGTGTGATGACAGGCTGTGCAGGGAATAAGTATGTAAGTTCATATGCAAATACTAATTCTTCCAGCAGCTGAACTTGGCAGACGGATACAAATATAACTGACTCGTCCTTTTTTTCTCATTATATTCATTGATAGCATATGCATGCATGACTTATGTATAAGCAGTGTATAGCATTTATTATATACAAAAAGACACTAAATATTAATCGATTTAAAAAATGGCATGAGAGCAGAGAATATGGTTATGCTAGGCATATAAATTTAGATTATTCAGAAGTTTGGCTGGGTAAAAAGATACAAATACTGTTTCATTCAATGCAGGGAAAATGATAAATCGTCATGCAGATGTATGGGCACACGAGAGGGATAGTTACAATTCGGTACGGTTGCCGAGCCGTCTGCCAACTTTCGAGCCGCCCCAAGTTAGCTAATTTAACTTTGGCCTAAGTACAGACATGGGCGAACATTTACGACACCTCCCATATGGAGGCTGACGTCCGGCGCTGGGATCAAATGGGCAGTGACCCGCATTTAGATACTGCCTGCCACGGCCATCAAGCCCGCAGGCATAGATGCCAGGTGCACTGGTCAGAAGTTTGGCCAGAGCTAGACTGTAGCGGCCAGTGACGGGTGGGCTGCGACCTGCGAGTCACAAACTATGAGTTGTGGGCCGTGGGACAGCACTCGATGAAGTTTAACATTGACCCGAGTCCTAACAATACCAGGCCTGATACCGATCGGTGCACGGCCAGAGAGCAGGTCCCCGCCAGCGGTCTGCTAATGACAGCGCTGATTAGCTGTCTCATCTCAGCAGGCGCTCCTTCCCCCTCCTCCCCCCCCCCAGGACTCCCCAGTCTGGTATTGTCACAGTCAGCAGCAGCGAAAATTACCGAGCGCTGCCCCAGCCGCGCGCCCGAGCAGGGAGGGCCGACCGAATTAACCGGGCACTCTCCCACGGAGCCAGGCGTGGGCGGCGGGTCGCGGCGGGCCCTGACGAGGCTGGGGACCGACTCGGGACAGAAATAGTCCCGCGGCTCCCACTCGACTGGCACCTCCGCTCAGAGAGGGATAGACACTTCCACGCCCAGAAAATGGGGCCGGCACCTTGGGCGTGGGTTGTGACAATGCATGGATCACTTGGGACATAAATGAGTATTGAATCAAAAAATTATAATTAGTTAAATAACAAACTCGAAATTTTTAATCTTGCATATGGCTGGCATGCCACTGCAATTTTCCGCATATGTAGCTTATTTACTTGACTGGATTACATTTCCAATTATCATGTATTATTCGTTCACGAATGATATCCTCCATCACAGAACCTTTTATCTCCTACGAATGGGACTGGCGCGTACATACTATCAATTTCATTTTATCGCAATATTTTCTCTGATCACTTACTCAAATCGATAAAATGGGAAAAGGCATCGTCAAACCGACAAAGCGGCAAATAAACCATGACATCAGTATGGATATCATTGGCGCTGATTGTGAGTGCATGGTTTCGTCTGGAGAAAACATTAGAGCTTACCTTTCACCGCAGCCATCTTGGCTCTGGAGGTCGGGTTAGGGTGGAGAAACTCTTTAGTCTTGATCTGCAGTTCTTCGATAAGCTCACATGTGATGTCCGTTTTCTGGAACAGGATTTCACCTCATCACAGAGCCACAGAGTCAATGCACGGATCTCGAGACATGAAACGGATTGGTTACGAATGGATTCTGCTGTGATATTTGTATTGTAATATACTTCATGTATAATCACATTTGACTTTGATTACACACTGATCATTAATCAGCGAAAAGCACGTACCCGCTCCATGTCTGTGAACTCGTCGTCGAGCTTGGTGCCCTCGGCACCGCCCATCTTCTCGGTCACATACTGGTTGGCCTTGTTGATCTGCTTCTTGAAGCCGGCGAAAGCCATCTTTGGATCTGAAATAGAATTATGGGATCAGCGCACACCTAGTTATCTGTTCTGCGTCATGGTCATTGGTCAATTTATGGTCATCAAAAACCTTACTCCGGCGGACGTCTTCGCAAGAGGCACATCCAAGAAAACGTCACAGTTTTGTAACGCTCTCAATGCCAAGGTATCGTTTTGGATCAATAAGGACAATGTTCAGAAAGTAGCCAGCTCCTGAATCCTCACAGCTCCTTTATCTTGCTCCTTCATCCTCAATCCTCACAGCTCCTTTATCCTTTATCTTATTTTTTATTAGGATCACCTATCTGCAGCTTGTTCGAGTTCTCAGTTTATATTCTGAGATGTTTGATAAGGATGGCTTTAGGTCAGTGATCGGTCGGGTGACGTCTTGCGTTATAACCCAGTAGTTTCTGGGATATTTCGTCACCAGCCATGGAGGGAGAAGGCGTTAAACACCCCCAGTCGACAGCTAAAAAGAAAAAGAAAATGATATCCGCAGCAAAACGGGCGAGGTGGTAAACGAAAGAATGCGAACTAATAATGAGCTGTCCAATCGAATACCAAGTTTTATTAAATGCGCGCTTTGACCTCAGGTAATCAAGCATGAGCGTCACGAGCAAGTGTTATCGATGACTCTAAGAAGCGACCTTATCAGACAGGCAGCACCCATTACCAAACCAAAAGGATGGCATTCGACGCAGCGGAGCATGACGAACGCGATGGCGCAAAATTCTGCGACCGTTTTCAGCAGTTTTTCACAAAACCGGGACCTCGACCGCGGGATATTTAACCTGTGTTAGAAGTCACAGTCTGACCTTTCAAGTAGTTATCAGTCACCAGTCACCACGCCTGATAGTGATACCTAATGGTGCTCACGCTGCCTTTCGCGTTGAGCGCTAATGCTGAGTTCAGGTGACCATAGGCGGCGGAACGGGGAGGGCACCGGGGCACCGTGCCCCCTTTGATTTAGGCTTTTTAACATTACCCCTATGGGCGTTCCATGGATAGAATGGGACCAAAAGTCGACAGTGTCCCCCCCCCCCTTAATGAAGGTGTTCCGCCGCTACTGTACAGGTCCAGTAACACATACTGATACATTCACTCGTTGTTGAGCTATTAATGGACATACACAACCAAGAGCGTCACAATGCACCTCAAACACCCACCTATTTTCAGCACGGCGGCCGCCATACTGACACGATCAATGTGGATCACTAAAAAGCGCCACGGATGAGCCTCACATTAGATCGTCACCGAAAACCGTCACAAATCACAATCGACCCTCCCAGGGCGGCACCTCCAGCTTCCACGACAGCTCCGCCGCACACTGCGCCTAGCCAGGGGCGTTGGGTGGCACTCAACAAAACTGCCGCCTCCCCCCCCCCCCCCTACAGCCACGGCCAACGCCGCGACCTGGCGCCACTCCAGAACGGCCCGAGGCCCTCCGTGGGGGGGGGGGGAGTACTACTGCCTGTCAGATCACTCGCCGACCTCCCGGCAGCCTCACCTGGCGTCTTCACTACTGCTGTGACCCCACGCCTACACTCAGATGGGCGCACATCACACAAAAACGCGCATCAAATGACACAAAACGCCCGGGAGCTGAGCAACCGCCGGGCGCGTGGCCCACGCGATGCACACTGAACGGACTGAACGACCACACAGACGTCTCTCTCTGCCACTCCGATCCCCAGCACAACCCTGACTGTCTGGGTGAGTCAGCTGGACAGAGGGCAAGGTCAATGTCCCCAGGGAATGCTGGCGGCCTCAGGAGCTACAGGCTGGGCCCAGTGTATACGTGTAGGTATGGGAGCAGTGCGGCGGCAGTGGCTGCTGCATGTCTCGGGCGGGCAGGGTATAACGTGCGCCACTCGGGGCGGACGTCGGCTACTGAATTCGCTGTGTATTCGGAATGCTTTAGTGATTTATGCTAATGGGAAGATATTTCCGTAAGTTATTGTACCTAATTTGATTCTGTAAGACAAAGACATTGCCGTAATTTTGATCCCATGTCAACCGTTTGGCTGTAGACTACGAGTACTGACGGATCCAGAAAAGTGACTTTCTGTGTTGGCCTTTTTAAAGATTTCTTCGAATTTCAAAGACTCCCCGGATATCATTTGCTTCTCCGCTGCTGTGCAATTTTAAAAGTAAATTTTTTGATATAGTTATTAAGTTTCCTTTTTAACCCGCGCCCCGCTGGGGGGGGGGGGAGAATCTGCCCCCTCCCGTTTTTCGCCAATAACTTCTAAACACGTTACACCAGCAACGTCAAACTTTCAGCACCTTATCATACACCAATTTGACACGTTCCCTAAAAATTTGAGCGAAATCCGTCGGATTTTTTTTTGAGGAAATGACGTTTTAGTGACGTCATGTTCGCCATTTTCGCCTCAAAAACGGCAAAATTTCAAACGCCGCTAACATCTTCATTTTTGAAGGAATCAAGACGTAACAAAAAAGGTTATACGTGATTTTACTTTGTCTTTGAAATGGCTAGCTCGGTTTTTTGAAAATTTTGGATTTTGGCCCAATTTTTTTAACTGACTTTTTTGGGAAAATAATTATAAAATCCAAATTAAAAAAAAAACGGAATATATGTCAGAGAATGGTTTATGTGCACCTACACTCCAATTTTTATGAAAATCGGTTCAAAAATGTGGGAGTTATTCAAAATTTTATGACGTCACGACACACAACATTTTTGAAAAATGATTTTTTTGGAAGCTCTAGACCTCGTACGGAAACAAAAATAGCACCATTAGATTCGCCGTGAAAAACTGCATCAGATAGACACCTTTTTAGGCCTTAACAACCAACTTCAAAATTTGATCTCACTTGACCTGACCTTGACCTGACCTCGACCTGAAATTCATCCAGATGTGGTCCATATCCCTTATTGAGTGTGCCTATTGAATTATATGAATAAAATGACCCATAAAACATGTGTCGCACATGCCCTTTTCTATATTTTGTTTTTGGTGACCTGACCTGACCTGACCTTGAACATGACCTTTGAATGATATTTTATGCAACGAATATTGTCTTGGTAGCCTAAGAACACGTTTTGGGCAATCAGTCTCCGTCCATTCTTCGGCAACTACGGTGCAAGGCCGATACTGTAGAAACTTGCATTTTGCACCCTTGACCTGACCTTGACCTGACCTCTGACATACTTAAGCAAAAAAGTTGTGCTTTTAAGATCCGTCTTGTTGAAAGCTTTCGATTGCCGTTTTCCCCGTCTTTCTACGACCATCGGTTCTGAAGTTAGACAGGGGGGGGCAGAATCTGCCCCCCCCCCAGCATGGGGCGCGTATGGCTGAATAGCCCAGCGGGGCGCGGGTTATGTGACGATACGACAAAGTATCCGGTTAATTTCGGACGCTCCGGGAGGGACAAAGGCCCAAAATGCCTATCCTTGGTTACACCAGTAGTAAAGACGTCAATAAAAGTAAAAAAGGCCTATTTTTACGAATAATGCAGATTTTATACGATAATGTTGAATATCCCAGCTGTAAAACCGATTTGAATGAAATTGCATTCCTTTTATGTATTGAACTGCATCAGATGAAGCATAATAGTGAAAGAAACATAAAAGGTCAAACCTAAAAGTTAAGGTCTCAAAGTGAAGGGTATTTGATTCTGATCCTGACCTTGATGGTTATTGGTCGGTCACTGAGTCATTTTGCAAAGAAGTCTATGAATCGTGACAAGATTGGGAAATGATTGCATATGAACCTTACATATGGACTAGTAAAATGTTGCCATAGCCGTTTTCACGACGGCCATCTGGTACACATTTGATGCACATCTGGTACAGATTTGGTGCAGATTTGGTCAAATCAGGATCAGCGTGTCTCTTAGCAGCTATCAGCTAGGGTTGCACTAATTGCTTATATGCCTGCTAGTGTCATTTTATCAGAGAGCATCATCGATTAACCCTCGCACGACCAGGCCATTTCTCATAACACGAACGACCAGGGGGGGGGGGGGTTGTTACGACCCCCCCCCCCTGGCGTTTCGAAACGGAAGGTCGTAGAGCTTAGCGGAAAAAACCAACGGATTGCTCTCAACGAGATCTCGCGATTGGTGGTATATTTTTTGGTCCTAGGTCAACATTTGACCTACTTTTGACCGGTCAGAGGTCAAATTTTCGGAAAAATAGACTTTTTTCAACTTTCGGCGGCGATTGCGGCAAAACGGTGGGAGATATCGACTTGAAACCTTCACTATCGTGTTCCTTGATCAATTCTCTATCGTTTGGTATGTATTTCGTTTCCCTATCTCTAAAAATGGCGCGTTGGGAGCGCCGGAAGTCGGCAAGGTCACAGTCGGCGGCAGAAATTCGAAAAATCAAAATTTAAATTTTTGAAATCTGATTGTATTTTTGGATTTGGGAGGTCCATTTGCTCCCTATAGAAGCTAATATTGCTGCATATTCCCATTGAGGTGACAAGAATTAGCAAAATAGTGGTTCGGGCGCTTTTCAAAAATAGTACCGGACGCTGTTCCTCTTGTGACGTCATAGCTCCGTGACCTGACCTGACCCGGTCAAATTTCTTATACCATATGATAGCCAATACTTGCCCCAACATGCATGGGAAGTTTCATCACGATCCATCAACCGATGTCCGTACCACCGGCAGGAAACCTCGGGCGTTGGCACTCAGTTTGTGAAAATCCGGCCGGAGGCTGTACCTCTTATGACGTCATAACTCCGTGACCTGACATGACCCGATCAATTTTTTTTCGGCAAAAGATGCGCAAAGGTTGCTCCAGAGGGTATTGAAAATTTCAGCTCTCTACGACAAGCCGTTTAGCGTGCACTTCGAAAAAACCTCAGGGGGGGGGGGTTGATACAACCCCCCTAGGCGTTCTAGGGTTAAAACACTGAAATAAATTCATAAAATGGAGATGTTTACTGTAAAAGAAATTAGGTGCAGATTTGGTGAAATCAGGTGCATTCGCCGGATAGCCCGTCGTAAAAATGGCTATTTTCTCTCTACTGCTTTTGTTATCAATCACCAAAATAATAGCAAGCTGCACAATGCAATGGAGAATTATTTTGAGGCAGCCGTTTCTCACTGAGCTACTTACTCCCTGCATTCCACCCGACATGCTTAGCCGCTACGGCGCGCCAGTCTAAGCCCAATGTCTTCTCCCTATTCTCTTATCTCACGACTCTGAACAATAGACTGAATTTCAATAGGCTGAAACGTCTGAACCAAACCAACCAAAACTACAAAGGGAATAGAACTGCACTATATAGAAAATTTATTAGTGCACATAACTGCCACTGAGCAGAAAGTAACTGTCTTCTAGAAAACAATGCGGGTGAAAGGCAATATCATAACGTCCACACAGCAGACACGGATGGACAATGAGGCATTGAGCCTACGTCTAAGTAGGTACTAGGTATTAGTCTATAGCGTCTTTGGCTTCTCTGCTTCCAGGCTTTTGGCGAACAGAAGGCTGTCGGGGACAAGCTATCCTCTGATCTCGCCATTTGAGCTGTGTCAACGGAATCTACCTCTGCGAATTGCCCTCGGTGCTGCAGACACGGGGCAGCTACTCTGCTTGGTCGACAGGGCTATATCGTGCATTACCAGCCGGCGTGGGGATGAAGACAGGCAAAGCCAATGGGACGGTGAAGGGAAGTGAGATAGAGATGGAAAGGGGATAAATAGCTAAATAGGTGTCATATAGCTCAATAGGTGTGATAAATAGTGAGGGTGTCTCGCACTCGGAGGTGTCGATGAACGCTATCGATGTTTCCGACTACGTTCCAGCGACTTCCTCATTCATCAATGGCGAGGGGGAGCGTCTCAAGTCAAACATCTTTCTAAATCCCCGATGCATTTCAGGATTTCTCCTGATAACGAACTATTTCACAGGTATCCACAAAACCTCAAATGACAGCGGATGTCGGGCGTGAGATGAGCCTCAATGCATCGAGTAGGTCTAATATACGACCGGATTGACAGTGCCACTGCCGTGCAGCTGTGGAGCTTTGTTGCATCTGTGGCATTTGCAGCAACATGTAACACCATGAGTAAATCGATCGCGCTGCATTGGCCACATTTCGTGCGAGTGAGACACGAGATGTTTTATAAACCCGTTACAAAAGTCCCGTCACAAGCCCACAACACAACTTTCCCTATTAGTAAAGTAATCTTGTTTCCCTCGGCACGCTACATTCATAAATTCCTCGCCTGTCTTACCTCAGGAGACTGTCGTATGTGCCCGGCTGTCGCCTTCGTCGGCTTCGTCGGACGCTGTCAGACAGCGGCGTGAGGCGGCGGCGGCGTCCGTCCCGGCTCGTACCCGTCCGGTCGCGT